GGTGCCGTGGGTATCGCCCGGTAACCGCCGGGCGCTCGGCAGCCCTCCCCTGCCCCGGTGTACCGGTCTGTCCAGGCTTAGTCTGGGTGTTGTTTCTTCAGACGTAACTCTGGAGATGAAGGATGATTTTATATTGGTGCCCCGATGTGGTATTTTCTTTGTTTCGTAGGTAGGGAGCTGCAGCAGCAGGCCCCAGTTTGGTAATATGATCTGAGAACTGGTTGCTGTGGGCAAACCTCTGCACCGGGCGCCCTTAGGAACCAATTTGTGCCTTGCGGTGCCCCTGCACAGATCAGCTGTTGGCTGTGTCGGACGTGCCCGAGGTCTGAGGTGGATTCAAATAGGTTGTCTCGGAGTAAAAGATGTGATGTAACTAAATTTAAGTCGTCAGCCACACAATCTGTAATCTTGCTGGTTTTCAACCCAGTTAGTAATGAACCAGTGTGATGACTGCTCTTTCAGAAATCTCGAATATGACTTTCTATTAAAAAACTGGTTAAAATACTCACAGAAAGCCTATACTGTTATCTTATTTTCAAACTCTGTCCCTTTCCTTGACTTTTAAAATACCACATCGAAGTGCAATTTTATACCATAGAATAAACTGGTCTGGAGAAGACAGGTATCCGTTTATTATTCCCTGAGTTTCTTAGGGATTTTGATTTTTGTTGTCCATGGTAATGTTTTATGATGATAGAATGATTATATGTGTAATAATAGTTTTGAGCTACCATATTTAGATCACACTTGGAAAAACTGCAAACACACCTGTGAAAAAAGGCTCTAAGTCCTTGCCTGCACGTTGTTTTCCCCGACTTAACTGTGGCTGAGGTGCAGGGTTGGTGCAGGTAGGTTGGACAGAGGTTTCTTTCCTGGCTCTTGCCCGTGGCACCCACCCAGGTGCAGCACAGTGCGTTTCCGCTTACTGTAAGAGCTGTTCTGTTTGGGTGTCACTGGTTTCTGTTTCCTAATTATTCCAGAAGGGATTTAAAGCTGTCTTTAAAAGCCTGATATCCTCCCTTACCTAAAGTTTCACAGACTTTGGAAGTAAGCACTGTTCTAACTGATTCAGAAGTGAAATGATGAATTTCTAGCTAGAAAAGTGCAGATCAAGCGTAGGGGGAAAAAATCAATTTTTTTCAGAATATAGAAGAAATAAGGATGCGTGCATTTGCTTGCTCATCCTTGCTGTCAGTGATGTTCCCTTTAGGAGGTTGGGTCAAGGTGTTACCGAAGCCATTGGGTGGGAATTCTGCATCCCCATGGTCAGAAGTGGTCTCCAGTAAGCAAACTCATCTCCAGTAGGCAGAACCCATCTCTTTGGTCTGTAGGGTGGCTTATAGGGCTCCACAGGAGTTACTAAATGAGACTTTGCTGATGAAATAATGTTAGCCAGGGTTGTTGGAGATGTTTCAAAGTGACAGCCATCTGATATTGATGTGATGCTAGAAAATTAACTTTCATATTTTTGTTAAGGAGCCATGAGTGAGTTGGTGATGTCTGTAAAACCAGTTGGCATCAAAAGGTTCTCTTGTGCCCAGTACAATTTTTCATTAAAAGCTTGTGTCTGCTTGCAACAGGCTACTTTCAAGGGAACCCTTAAAATAACCTTAAAATAGTATTTTTGTCTTCCTTGTGGCTTGTGAACAGTTTTTGTTGTTCTGCTTTAACGATATTTTTACCGTGGACCTCAGAGGTTCAGTCAGCCTCAGCTCTCCCCTTGCTCTGGTGCAGCTCCATGCCTTGGACGTGGTGGTGTGACATCTCTTGACACCAGTGCAGACCCACGGCAGCTTTTTAATGCTTTGATTTGACTCTCCTGTGAATTACGTAGTTACTTTTCCTGTGCGATAAGAGTAGATTTAATCTCTCTATTCAAATATTACCAGTGTGCCTTTACAATTAACTGTTCATTTTTTCCCCATTTTAAAAGTATTTTCCTTTAACTGCTGCCAGCTGATGTGGAGAGTGTTCTGGATGTATTCGGATAGCTGTTTTTAAACCCTTTTTTTTTTTTTTTTTTGTGGTGATGGAAGTTTAACCTATATGAATGCCACTTCAGCTCAGTTTGCAGAGTAATCCTGTTCTCACTTTAGTCATTTCAATCTTGCCCCTTAAAGTAATTTCTGTAATGCATAAAGATTATTTCTTTTTGCTTTATCTGTAAGTTTAGTCGATAGAAAAGGTTAATACAACTAAACACCATGAAGTTATTCTCACCTCAGTAATCTGAGCACTTCTCTTACATCACACTGTTTGCCCTGGTTTGCAGGTTATTTGAGTCGATCGTTTTTCTAAGCCCCACAGAGGCTTTTCTCGCTCGGTATTTTGCTCAAGCAATAAATAAATCTGCTGACGTGTATGTTCTGCTGTGTTTGCTTATTCTTGACCTTTGCTTTTTAGCTGTGCAAGAGACAGTTTCAGTCGTGACGTTGTGTAACTGAGTGTTTACGCGTTGACGAGTGTGTTTGTATTCTTAAAAATTTGTGCCTGTTGCAGCTGATCAGTTGTTCAGAGTAACGTAGGGTGTGGGTAAGAGTTTCAGGGCTAGTTGTGGAGAAACCAAGGATTCCCAGCACTTCGTTATCTTCAACTGGGGAGACAAACATGGGCTGGAAAGATTTTGTTCAAGTGCAAGCAAACGTAATTAGAAAATTCTTTCCTTCTTGCTCCACATCACCTTCTGTGATAGACCTGTTGCACAGTGGGGAAACTGTTCGTTGTCGCACGTGTAACTGCTGGGACAGATGCTGGATTTTGATCTGGTTCTGACCTGTGTTTTGACTACTGTGTGCTGTGCTCCAGGGTCGGAGCTGCCTTGGAGTTGTCTTGTGACCTCCCCACGGTACCACTGCAGCATTGAAGCGAGCGCAGCAGGACAGCCTGCAGCAGTGTGGACGTCTCTGCCAGCTGCACTTCACAGTGCCGTCCAGTTTCTCCAGGATAGTTGGACTCCAACGTCCCCTGATGTTAGCAGGGGTTATGTGTTCCAGTAGGAATTAGCTGGCTAAATGCTTCTAAGGATGTCCTTTAGTTTTCCAAGAAGTTTTCACACTAGATACTCATTCACTGTGTCAAACCGGTGCTTTCAGTGTGATTATCCTTGCTTTAGATAATGAGGAAATTAAAATGAAAGCTAAGAAATTAATCACTCCTGGCTGATCAGTGAATGCAGCGATGGCTTTATTTTTGCTCCCCAAAGCATCACTTCAGCACTAGCAGCAGTTCCTCCTCTGTGCTACCTGCCCTCCTGGGCACTTGAGGTGTGCCAGAGCCCCTCTGACACCTCTGCCGTGGCCGCCTGTTCGGAAGCAACCCTGTCTTCCATGGCAGAGGGTTTTTTCTGGGGCAGGAACAACTGAATTCATCAGTCTGTGCAGTCCATCGTGGCTACTTGCTTCTTTCCCAGGGACAAGCATAGCAGCCTTCTGTTGTTTTTTTAACCATACCACAAAGGAGAGGTGTTTGTGGAGTAGCAGAGCTTCATCCTGGTCGCAAGGGGTGTCCTGCCTGTGATGGTCGGTTGAAGTTGGCTGACGGTTGTATGGCACAACTAGAGTGTTGGTTATAGTCATCCTGGCTGCTCTCAGCTCGGCCTTCTGTTCGTGAATTTAAGCTGAAGGAATTTGGTGGGAAAGATGATGTTCTAGAGTTCTTTTTTAGGTGCAAGTTGTGCATTTAGGGTTTAAATTGTGGCAACCTGTGCAGGAGGTTGTGATCTTTGAATTGCAGTTCCAGTGCTTTGGACTAAGTAGTGGTTTCCCATTACAAGCCAAACAGACAGGTTCTGTGTAGACAATAGGGGTTTATTCGGTATCAGACTTCTCTGGATTCAGCTGCACAAAACTTCTTCACCTCTTACCACCTCTGCTTCAAACCCAGCAGCTCCCAAGGGCAGCTGGAGCACTGACTCTGCGCTGACATCCCTCTGTTGTCCTCTTAAAAGTGCCATTTTTTCCCAGTTGAAAAGTTGATGTGAGATTCCATTTGAAATCTTCAGTAGAATATCACACAGCTACACCAAATCATACCTGAGATAAAATTATTTTTACTTCTTGTCAAGACTTCTGTCCACGTAGCAGTTTCCAAGGCGAGGAAAAGGTCTTTGCTGTTGAATCACAAGGTCTAGATTCTGGTTTTCATTTCTACACTAATTTTTTCATGTGTTGTGGGGTCACTTAATTGGTCCATGATACAGTTTACCAAAACTAAATTGTTTTTTTTATTTTTCACCCAGGACTTTGAATTACTCATCTTACCTATAAATATTTTAGAATGTTTAATGTGCTGTTCTGACAGACGTTAAATGCATTACATTTTCTGTTTATTTCAGACTGTAAGATTCAGATATGTCCTTCATATTTGACTGGATTTACAGTGGTTTCAGTAGCGTATTACAGTTTTTAGGTAAGTTTTTATTGTTTGGGGTTTTTCCTTTCTGCTATTCTTGTGTAAAATGTCTGTTCGACTCTATTGATAGCCGCTGCTGGATAAATAATAATATTTGTTCTGCTGTATATTCAGTAACACTCAAACAAAAGTTTCACTTACCAATACTGAGTATTTCCAGAGTGTGCTCTCCGTTCAGTCTGACTTTAATCCTTTAACCTCTTGAAAAAATTACATTTTCTTTCATTAACGTAGTAGGTTTGATTTTTCTAATCATATTACATTTAAGCTGATGTAATTCTGTCGACGTTCGTGGACTTTCTCCTGAACTCAGTAATTTTACCTCAGTTCTTTTGCACATGAGGATACCACTTGAGAATCCAAATATGAGGGACTGTCTACAACAAATTAATGCTGGATATTGAAGCCCTTGCTCATGTTCAGCAGTGTGTTGTTCTGTGACTGATGTCACTGAAATCAGTGTGAAACTTCACTGGCATCTGCTGAAGAGCCTCAGGAAAATATTCCCTGGCCAAAAGAATCTATGATCCATATCAATCCAAGGTGAAACATTAGCTTGTGCAAAACAGGATGGGGAAAAAAAGAAAAAGGAAACAAAAAAACCCAAACCAACAACCAGGAGGAAAAGGAGTGCTAGGATGCTAAAAAATGGAACAGAAGTTGCAGATCACATAGGTAAAAGGCATAATTTGCAAGTTTGAAGGATTTTATTGAAGTGGATAAAAAGCATTTGAGAATAAGGAATCATGACAAGCTGTGCCACCTGCCTTTTATCAGTTGAAAGTTTAAACTTTTTTGCTGCGTGTTAGACCCTTGGCCTACTATTGAAATATTAGCCAGTGAAATGTTAACTAAATTGACTAATCTTTCTTATCAACACTTACTTAGCTGAGCAGTGATTACTGCACACTAGCCCGCTTTCTCATTCCTGTGCATGGAAAGCCTGGTGAAAGATAGTGGAGCTTGAAGTAGGAAGGAGAATTACTCTCAATATGTCCCTTCTCTTCTGGAAGAAACGTGTTCCCTTTTCATTCTCGTTTACGTATGCAGTTGAAGAAGGCTGATTATAACATTTGGGAAACTCCCTGCAGTTCCCTGTGCTGTCCTGTCAGGAGGCTGCTAAGATTGCTTTGTAAAGTACATCTTTGCACACATACACTTTCAGAATGGACAAAGAATCTGTGCAGATATATGTGTGTGTGTATAAATATATATAAAGTCTGGTCTTGGTGTAGCTAATAGCTGAAGTGTTGCTGCTTGTTTGCCTTGCATTTCTATGAAAGACACTTGGGAAGTGTGAAATGTTTCAGAGACAGAAGCAGCACCTGATTTGGGAGCAAAGGCTCTTGGATGTTCAGGCTGAGAGTGGCAAAAATATTTTTGTTTTACTGTGGTTTAGTAGAATTTTGTTTAACTCATAAGGTAAGTGCGAACTGGAGTTTCTCCTGTGGCATAAGTTAATATATGAAAATGTTTGCCCACTCCTCCTTTTTGTGCAAACATTAATACTTTCTCCTCCACTCTGTGGTTTAATAGTTAATGTATGTATATATTTAGGCATGTGAGAAGGTGAGTTTGGGAAGTAAGAGTTGTTGTGTTTGAAGACACTCTACGGTACCTGTAGTAATAAAGATCACTAATGAAATCAGCTGAGGAATATGAGAGAATATTCATTCCTGCAAGCTACCAAACATGTCATGTGGGAATGCAATCCCAGAGATTAGCTTAAAGGCAGGGGGAGAGGTGAGCAAACACCAGCAGTGTGAAGGTCGGCCAAGCAGAGGCACGTATGCCCCTGTAATGCTGTGGCATCACAGGACTGTCCCAGTAGCCACCAGTGCAACAGCGTCGCTTCAAATCCCACTGAATAGAACATGTATGGGGATAACACATTAGATGAGAAATAAAAATGAGGGCTTCAGAAACTGGTGTTACTGGCTCACTCTGCTGCCCGCTAGCCTCATCATGTACCGAGACCCAGGGCAGCTGTCAGTGCACCCTTTGGGTGGCTACCAACTGCTTGCCCAAGGCACCGCGCATGATGCTGGTGGGTAGTCTGCAGATCAGGAGGGTTGGTTGTGCTTGTGGGAGAAGGGGCAGTTAAGTGTGGGGACTGCAGCAATGGGACAGTTGAGCTTTAACAGTAAAATCTGTGCATTTCACAAAATGTTTCTGTATCATCGCGGTGGTGGTAAAATAAACTGTTCTTCAGCATATTGCAAAGTGCTACAGGACTGTGACATGATGTAGTAAAAGATCCTGGTGACTGAAACTCCCACGTTACGGTATTTGGCTGTATTTTGCAGTTCTTTTGCGGGAAGAAGAGAGAATTCTGTTAGGAACGTAGCCCAGTTTTGCTTTTGAAGAAATGCAATTTCAGCACATACATGTATTTTTTTCCCCACCTCTGTTCTAAGTGTTCTGCCCCCTTCAGCACTCGTGAAGGCTGCGAGGTCAGTAGTGGTTCCTAAGGAGATGTGCAGTGTGTAGTGTCCAGCCACAGCTCTTTGAAGAGGGAGGATTTTCTCCTTAAAAAACGTTAAAGCTCAGAAACTCTTACTTCAGTAGTTCTTAAGTATAGAATGTAATTTTTTAATTTTTTTTTTTAATGAAATTTGTCTTTAAAATGTTTTGCTTTGAATGTCGATCAGATTGAAACAGTAAGAAATAATCCTGGCATAAGGATGTAGTGTTGACATGTTTGAGAATCACTCCTTGATAACATCAAACTTAAGAAAATACTGTGTTCATGTTTTACACATCCTTCCTCTCTTTCACAGCAACTGTTACATTTACTGGGGTTCCAAATAGAGGAAAAAAAGGGGAAAAGGCATTTTTATAAAGATAACTATTGGTGAAAATAAAATTTCTTATTCCTGTTATGAAAGCATTATCACATGGCAGCAAGTGTGTCAGAATTGCCCTGACAGTGCCATTCAGGATATACCAGTACCGTTAGCTGGGGGTATGGGTGAATGTTTCTTTTTGTCAAAATAATATATCATAGAATGGTTTGGGTTGGAAGGGACCTTAAAGATCATCTAGTTCCAACCCCCCTGCCATGGGCAGAGAAATCCTCCACTACACCAGGTTGCCCAAAGCTTCATCTAACCTGGCCTTGAACACCATATGAACCAACATAAGAGAATTCACACATATACTAATTATGACTATTGACATTGAAATTAATTTCATTGAGGTCTGGACTTTCTTTTTGCCTCAGACAAGTTTTTTGTCATAATTGGAGTTAACTGAACAAAACATCCTCTGTTCACATTCAGGGTGGTTCATGTTTTGGAGCCCACTGTCAGCACTGTACCCACACAACCCCCTCTCCACTGCCTGTGAGCAAAACTGTCCTTTTACTGGGGCAGAGTGAGCTACACTGGCAAAATTTAGTCTTGTTTTGTGGTGGTTTTCCTAAGATAATGTAAATACATTTACATGAGTGACACGTTTACATCAATTGTGTGCCTCTCCCCCACTTAGCATCCCATAAGCTGCACATGGCGCACATAGTGCAGCAAGTATGAATGTAATTTGTACGAGTAGAACATGGTTAAAGAGCATTGATAAAGTATGCAGCAGAGCTCGGCTGGTCTGTAGAAATTAACTCCTGCCAATTAAACTGATTAATCAGTAGGTCCTTCTTTGTTCTAGGACTGTACAAGAAATCAGGCAAACTAGTGTTTCTTGGACTGGACAATGCTGGAAAAACTACACTGCTGCACATGCTTAAAGACGACAGACTGGGACAACACGTCCCCACGTTACACCCCAGTAAGTTAATATTGCTGGTTCCATAGCTAGAAAGTGTTTAAAGTGTTGCAGGAAAAGCAGATCTGATTATACATCATAAGATGAACAGCGTAACTGGGTAGAAACAAAAGAATTTCTGGGACTGCAATCTCTAAATGGTTCAAGTACTATTCAGAAAAATTTGTATAGGATAGTTCAATGTGGTGTATTTAAAATTAAGAGATGAGTAGCAAGCAGAACGACGGAGCTGAGAATGTAGATTAGAGAAGCTGTGGGAAATTGAGTCTTGCAGTGTTTGGGCGCAGCTTCTCTGTGCAGCTGGAAAATTAGCATTTCTGTATACTCTTTTGCTCTGATTTGTTTCTTGAATAACAAAACACTGCGAAAAGACCCAAGAGAGAAAGTAAAATCTACGTGCAAGAAGGTTAGACTGTTCTAAGGCACTGCATAATCTTCACAGAGAACGTAATTCTGTGTGTTTCTAGCTTCAGAAGAGCTGACAATTGCTGGCATGACGTTCACGACCTTCGATCTGGGTGGACATGCTCAAGGTATGAGAATACGTTGACTCACTTCGCTGAATTGAGTTAGAGTTGTCCCCAATCCATTTGTTTCGGATAAAAAATATGACCATGCTGCAGAGGTGGACTTCCCACACTCTTTGACAGTATGAAAAACATTCGCTGCTCTGTTGTCTGTTTCCACCATTTATCACAAATCCCAAATACAATTTGGCAAGAGCTGCAGTGGAGCATAAATTTTTGACAGACAGCTGTATTTTGAAGAGGATTCTGTACTTGGAATCACATTTACTGTTAAGCTTTATGCTTCAAACTTACCTTTGTTATGAAATTGTTGGGGCAGCACAAAAAGTTTCAGTACATCAGAGTGTGGGATAGGTAGGTTGGTGATAACGGTGGAGAGAACGATGCTTTTGCTCTATCCCTTCAAGTTTTATAAAACATGAAAGTGCATCCTGAAGACTGGCAACATATGCTAAGACTTCAAAAAAACCCTATTTCTTCTTAATTACTCATGTGCATTACTCTGAATTTTGGGGTAACGTCCTCTTGTTTTTAATTCACATCTTCCCTGTAGCTCGCAGAGTGTGGAAAAACTATCTGCCTGCGATTAATGGCATTGTGTTCTTGGTGGACTGCGCAGACCATGAAAGATTGCTTGAATCAAAAGAGGAACTTGATGTAAGTTTGAATAAGTTTTTGAAAGTTTTAACTTTAAATTTGAAGAAATAAACTCAAATTCCCAGTATCCAACAGAGCTCTGCGGCCACCTGGCCATGAGTAGTAGTGATTTGACCTTCTGTATTCTAAATTAACCTCTCCTCCTTTCTCCTTTCCTTTGTAGTCACTAATGACAGATGAAACTATTGCTAATGTGCCTATCCTAATTCTTGGGAACAAGATTGACAGACCTGAAGCCATTAGCG